ATATATATATATATATATATATATATACACACACACATATATGTATATATAAATTAATAATTGTTTATTAATAAATAAAAACAAATATTTAATTGCGACAAGAAAAATGTAAATTTTTTCTCTTTACTTAATCGATGCAGATCTGAAATTCAAAGATATTTGTAATGTTAGTCTTTTCTTAAGCAAATTTCGAAATTAATTTAAGCTTATTCATGTTAGATATAACATCGGGAAATGATATAAGAAACCGGAAAGATTTTTTTTCCATGACGCCAATGACTTTCTAATCGACGCAAAACACAAGTGCAAACCGGTTCGCTCTAGTTAAAAGGAAAGATTCATCGGTTTCGGGGTCGTTAGATCACAAGTGAGTAAAAAATTTTGTCGATAGAATCTTATCTGTTATTTGTACTAGAGATCTCGAACTGCCGCAAACTGATTTTGGGTCATTCTCTGCGTCGAAAGGTGACGATCCTTATCGCAGGATCATGCGAGTATAAGATGCGCGTTTAGCGTTATCTGATGCCACGGAGACGATCCATATTGTAATCCTCTTTACATTACTTGCTTAACAATGTCCTCGTTCCATGAGGAACTGATCAAATTATATTGAGACTCCTATTTTTTTCTACGAATCAGAAAAATTTCGTCAAGCTCATGCAAATAGAAGCATCTCTTTTATGTAACGAATAAAAATCCGTATTTATTTACGAATTGTACATTATCTCTATTCCTTCCTTAATTAAGGTATAATACGTTGCGATATGACAGTGAAAAATATAATTTCTGACATATATTATAGATTTTTAATACTGGAAGTATACATCAGAACGTATTGTCAGTAACAATAACAATTCATATTTTTATAAACTAAAATAAATAATGAAATAAAAAATGTTTAAAAAGTAAATACTTAAAAGTATATACTATGTTCAGAAGATTAATTAAGAATGTTACGCATACTAAGGGAAAATATTTCGTAAAATAAACCATTCTATTACATATTAGCGTAAGATTGTATTAGATTTACGTCTATGATACAACATATACAACTGTCTTATTTAAGTTGGTTCCCTTTGAACCACTTCGATATAGCTAATATAGCTTATTGGATACAAGTTTATTTATACTATATATATATATATATATATATATATATACTATAGTTAATT